AATAGCCGAGACAAATACTCGAGTAGTAGGATTAAGAGTTAAAACCAAACTAGGGAGTAAGGATAGTCGGGTGTCGAGCGAGAATCAAACAAGACATCCAGGTCGGGCAACCATAGTGTGAGGTCGACCAGGGAAATATCAAAATCAGCAGAACCGAGCTCAAGACTTAGGTAAAATGAGCCTAAAGTTGATATCGAAGACCCGAGCCGAGCGTTGGGGCTGCAAAAAATATTAAAATAATGGCAAGTTGTAGCCATATGATGAAAGATGGGCACGCCCACCAAAAGCCCGTCATTTTACGTGCCATAGCCTCAAAGGGTCGCACGTCGCATTAAATGCGTGTCTTTTTAATTTAATGCTTGGTGTACTGACCGATGAACAATAGTCGGACCACCCTTACTATAAATAGTCCTAGAAATCAATTGTAGAAAGGTTCTGAAATTTCTCTGGACGCAAACATAAATCCCCCTATTAAATTCAACATTAAATATGAGCACCCGAGCTCATCGTCAAAATATTCGACCTTGTTTTCACTTTCTTTTTCACATATTTAGCACATCACATCGAATTAAACAGCGTATTAGCATTACTAATCCATCACTATCAATTGATCAAATCTGTCGGTCAATAGTTTGGCGCAAAGGAAGGGTCTCATATTGTTTGAGATTACTGTTCGATTTGGAGAACACCACATCCGCTACCAACCACACAACTCACGAGGATAGCCGAAGAAGATGTCTTCATCAAGCCGAGAAGTGGAATCTCAGACGCATACAACGGAGCAACCACGCACGGTTGCTCCCACTATCGACTTCCCATCGATGTTTCAAGATCTGGAATTTTTAAGGGCAGGGCGGGCCTCATGACGCAAGTTTTTCCATCGACGTCATACACGCCTCCACCGTCGATAATGGAAATGCTCAAAACACCAACGAAAAAAGACACAAACCCCACTGGAGACAAGGGCAACGGCTCGACCCAGTCATATGTATAATAACTCTTTCACAATTTAATATCCTTCAAATTTTAATAATTCCACTTTAAAGAAATCACGACTAGTTAAAAGTAAATGTCTCAAATTATTATTATTATTTTTTTTTCCAAAGTAACATGTATCATTCTCAATTTCCTCCCGACAGACTAGATGTTTTGCAGTTGAAACCAACTTAAGTAAATATATTTCTGTTTTGTAATTCTTAACAGTGAAGTGACATTTTTTTCGCAACGGTAGACTTTAAAAAAAACAACAAAATTTATAGACCAGACAACATCTAAATAGTAGAATAAATCAGTTGCTCAGTTGAATCTAGTTGGGAAGGCTACACCACTAGTAGCCTAGAACAAACTAAAAATCCAAGATAGGAGTATAAATGGGGTGTATTGTTTGGATTTCGACTGACATTTTGAGAGTGTTTGAAATTTGGGATTTGTAAGATTTTCATATCTAGTAGTGAAATCTTAAGTTCGAACGTGGATTTGGAGTGAGATTTTGTATATGGTTTATTCTTTTGAAGTCTCAACAAATCTTAAAAAGTGTTAACAAATTTAGTTTTAAATAAAGTAAAATACCTGATAATTTTTAAGATTTTAAAATTTCAAATGAATACCTCGAGAATTTTAAAAGTCTTAAAAGTTCTAATTAAATATATCAAGATTTTTAAAGTCTTAAAAACTCTTTAGAAATCTCACAAGTTGAGAATACGAATAACACATCCCAACAAGAGATAAAAAACACAAAAAATTGCACGAAAAAAAATCTGATAGTTAGACTACAAACGTAACAAATCTCCCCATCAGCAACCAGAGTCACTCCCAAACGCCTCAAGCAACCGACTTCTAGGAGAACCAACCAAGAAGGCCAAGTCCCCAGCTCAAACATGGCACTAGAAACTCCTCTACCTGCTAACTAGGACTTGGCCAAAAAGACCCGAAATCTTCTCAAACGGCCACAACAGAGACGACACCAGAAGACCTGCACCTAAGTTCCCTCGAGAACTACCGGCAACCGCAACCCACTGGTCAGAGCCACCCCTGCCAGCAGCCCCTACTCGCCCAACACCATATGTATTTTACTACTAGTTTTCATATAGGTCACTTCACACTGTAACACATAATATACTATACTCATTTATACATCATTAATAATTATACATAGTGCATAATAAACAAGTGAACTCGTATCATAAGGAGTCGAATGTTGTAACTTGATTGGTCCAAAATGATATCATTTATAACCCATTAGAAGACAAATACTGTACAAATTGTGGATGGAAAATAATTTATAAATTGAATAATCAGTGATAATTTAGGGGTTAAAGATTTTTTCCCCACCCATTATATCATTTAATATATATCTAAAATTTGTACCAAAAAAAAAAAAAAAAAAAAATTATATCTAAAATATATAAATCTTACGGTTATAAGTTATTTTCATTTTCCACCACAATCTGCATATTATTTTCAATAATACGTCTTTTTTCTTTAATTAGTTCTAATCATCCCCATATTATATCAAATTAATATTTCAAAACACTTTTATTTAAAAAAAGTACACCATATTAAATATAATCATGTTGGCATTTACTTATATATTAGTGTGGGGTTTTTGCTTTATAAACTATTCTAGATTAGATGCTAGCCACACAACTAATTTAAAGTTTCTTTTTCATTTTCTTTTTAATAAAATAAAGCACGCTTTACATGAATTCTTTTTGTATATATAGCAATTTTAATGCAATATATATATATATAACAACACATTTTATAAACTTTGGAGTGTAGGGTTTTTAGGGACGACCAATGTGAAATTATTATTTGCAAGAAAATTTGATCCCAAACGTGCATAGTATAATTTATAAACTCTATAAGTCAAATGAAAGATAATAGCTTCAATTCTAGGTAGCCAAAATGACATTTTTTTTTAATAACACATACATATCATCACACACACACACACACACACACACACACACACACACACACACACACACACACACACATATATATATATATATATAACTTCAATAATCTTGGAGTCCATAGCCATATCCTTGCAAAAGCTCAAATCTTTATCCTAATCTTTCAATATGGCTAAAATACACCCGAAAAACCCAATATTCATCAATAGCCCCTGTCGATACTCGTCGTCCGAGAGAGAAATATTTACCGTTTGGATGAAATCCCTAGTGATCAACGGCAATGGATGCACGGTTTTCGGCTCGGAAGGTGAAATTGTGTTCCGGGTCGACAATTACCAAACGAGGCGCAGTCGGGAGGTCTTTCTAATGAGCTCCGATGGTGAAGTCCTCTTCTCAGTAAAAAGAAAGGTATTTACTATTTACTATAGTTGGTTATTCGGTCCTTACGAGTCGTGTGAGATGAAAGTCGCATGCACGATTATGTCATTCCATAATTATCGACAACTTTTAGCCACTCGAATTTTTCATATTCGCTTACTACTCATCGGATGATCTATTTTTTTTATTTATTATTTTCGCAGAATTCGCAAATTTTTAGGAGTTGGGAAGGCCATAAGTTTCTCAATTCAAAGCTTCATAAGGAGGGAGAATGGTTCAAAGTGAAAAGAAAGTGCAACATTTTTAGGAGAGGTCTAATTGATTGCCACGTCATACTTGGATGCAATAAAGTGACATTAAGTTGCTACAAGATTGTAGGGTTAAAAGGGAAATCAACTCTCAAGATAATGGATTGCGGGGGCCAAGTTATAGCCGAGGTAAAATTCTTGCATGAGATGGTCTAATTGTTATATTGATCGACCCGTCATACTTTTATAGTATAAAAGTATGTTTATGTTATGAAACGTCGTATTTTTATTTATGTTGTTTTTATAGAGCATATGTGACATTTCAGTTTGAAAGTACGCATATAATATTGAAAAAATATGGTCGTTAGAGACCTACATAACAATAACTTTACTAGTTAATGTTAATACTCAATGAAAAAAAGAATAATTATTGTTTGGCTAATGAATATTTTCAGGTGACTCAAAAACAATCATTTGGTGGAGTTTCTTTGGGAGATGATGTGCTAACCCTAATGGTGGAGCCCAAAATAGATCAATCCTTTATTATGGCTCTAGTGATAGTTTATGGTATGATCAACAATAAACTATAGTTTTTGGGAGCTTCATGTTAATTTACACATCTCTCTCTCTCTCTCTCTCTCTCTCTCTCTCTCTCTCTCTCTCTCTCTCTCTCTCTGTGCACATAGGAATTTATTATTATTTTTGTTATTATTTTTTTTTTGTGGGAGAAATTGTAATTATGCAAGAATAGATATTGTAAATTGCACTTAATCTATAACTATTAGGTGGTGGATGATCTGATCCACTCGTATAAAATAAGATTTTGCTAATAATTGAAATTTAATTAGTTAATCAATGAGCTAATTAAGTGTTCTTTTCTAAGTTCTTGAATTTTGTTTAGATTAATATAGTTACTTTTCAATCTGAAGAAGAAGAATACAACGACGTGATTGCTTAATTTTATTATTTGTTTATTTATTTATTCAACCAAAGAAATTAGTCAAATTACAAGAATTGCATAAACCAACCAATGAACTTGAGCTTACATGTCAAGACTGGTCACTATCAATTAATCCAGTAATTAATTCCATTAATCACCAATTAGAATTTTAATTAGAACAATAATCTTGGTAATTATGGCAGCTGGACTTTAAAATGTTTGTTCATGGCCCATGTGTCTCAATTGTTGATGTTGATCAATAATATATGAATAAAAGAATGAGTAGTTCTTCATGCACATCACAGACTAGGGTAAATAAGGGCTCATGGTTTTGATCTTATATAGATCACAATTATAATGAAATGAAGGAATCAAGAAATATGTGACCTTAGGAGCAAGCATATATTTTCAGCAATTTACGAAAACATATTTTATTCTGCAATGCCGTGCAAAAAAACTCGTGAATATCAAGTTATCGAGGCTCCCTGCTGCTTAACTTACCAATTAACTGTTGATCTATTTGTTTCCATTCGTGAGATTACGTAGTTTCATTATGAGCTGTTGCCTTTCGCCCTCGACCTCTGCGAACTTGAGGCTTATGTCCAAATATCTCTCTTGCATTTCTTTGAGATCATCTTCCATTGATTTATTTTTCTCCTTCAGCAATGCCATTTGGTCATTTAGTTCTTCAACAAATGTGGTATCTGTTGTAGAATCTTTCTGTGCCTCTAATAAACCATTGCTGTAATAATCGCATATGCAACCCAAAGTTAGCTTGGAAATTTTTTTATTTAATTATTTATTTTTCCTCGAATGTGACTTTAGTTACAACTTCGTGATAAAAACCGTACCTCTTTTCACTGGTTATGCTTGTCGTACTCGAGATTTTGTCTCTGTATTCCTGAAAATTCTGTTAAACATACGAAAGTTTTTTCAGAACCTAGACTAAATGCAACTATCTAGCAGAAGTGAAAAAATGATGAGGTGTACGAATAAACTACAACTATACAAACCTTTTCAACTTCATGATCAGTTCTTTGGAATACTCGTAGTCTCCCCTCTAACTCTTCAATCTTGTTGTGAAGATCCTTTTCCTTGTCAAGAAATTTAGTAGCTGAGGATTCTAGATCAGTTTCCTTTGATTTGATTAGACTCTGTTGAACAATGTAAAATTGGAAAATCAGGTTCAACTTCTGTAGCACCATTTAACGCATTTGACAAACTTTTGAAGTAGTTATGAAGAATTTATATAAAAGAAATCATCACAATCCAAATTAGCCGAAACCATGCTTATTCAGGCATTTTCCAACTTCGCCGTTCTCCGGGATCACTTTCTTTTAATAATAGTGTCTCATTTTCCTTATTAGGTCTACCACAAAGAAATGAAGTTCCGGTTTACCTCAAGCAACTTTATTCTCTCCTTGAGACTCGCAACCTCTTTGGACACACGGGCCGTAGGCTTGCTAGTTTTCGAATTAGTTTTAACAGCATCAAGATTCATTCCTCGGCCACTGCCATCCTTTAACTTCTTCTCCATGCTAATTAATGCTTCCTCTCTTTTCTTAAGATCACTTTTTAACTGCACCGCTTGCTTCTTTAATTTCTCCTTCTCCACCTCATCCTGCAGTCGAGATTCCTTAAGCTCTTCACATTGAGCTCGAATCATGCCTAGCTCGGTCTTCATATTTTCCGCTACAGCCTCTTTTTTGCTCAGAAGACACCTCATCTTATCCAGTTCCTTGTTCAACTCCTCCGCCCTATTCTCCAGCTCAGCCTTTTCATCATTCCCTTGCTCGACAAGCAACTCATTTTCCTTAACCATTAATCTCATTTGTTCCACCTCGCGCATCAAGCTTTTCTTATCCTCGATCTCCTCCAGAAGAATTATATTCTTCGCGACATGTGCTTCGATCTCATCCCTTAGTATTAAAATCTCGTCCGAGAGTAGTCTTTGAGCATCCTCGGCGTGCTTTCTGTGTTTTTCCAATTCTCCCCCCTTTTCCTCAATTTCCAATCTCATTCGCTCGATTTCATCCCCCATAGATCTCAATCTAGTCTCGTATAGGCCCCCGACTGACTCATTTTCCTTGCGGGCCTTACGGAGCAATTCCTCCAGGCGGACTTTTTCAAATCGGAGCTCGTTCGCCTCGGCCATGGCTTTAGCCGCGAGCTTCTCGTTGGCCGTGAACGTGGAAGCCATCTGCACCGACAGCCTCCTGAACTCCTCCTGAAGCCTTTCTGCCGTGTTTGCATTTTTCCACCTCATCCTCTCCAGTGCCTCCTCGGCTCGTATGGCTCTCTGTTCCTGCTCAACTCTGGCCCGTGTGAGCCCTTCAAGATCTGCCTCGAATCCCCGCGCTTGCCTCTCGAGCTCCTCCTCCAAGTTTCTGGAGTGTGCCTCGAGAGAGCTTATTTTGGCGAACGAGTCCGTATAATCTTTAGAAAGTCTCTTGAGTTCGTTCTCGAGGTTCTCAATGTGGGACTCAAGCTCACCGACCCTGTCTGTCTCCGGGCACAATGGCTCGTACGGAATCTTGAGCTGTTCCTGAATCTGGGTCTGCTCGAGTCTGCTTGACAGGTCGTGGTTGGCCTGCTTCATGATCTCGTAGTCGAGCGCGAGCTGCTCCATCTGGACCTCGAGCTCGTCCCTGTCTTGTTTGTAGATCTCGATTTCTCCAAGCAGATCGATGATTTGCTGATCCATGTGGTACGGCTCCTTTGATTCATTATCATGTTCCTTCACGAGGTCCTCCAGCGCCTTCTGCTCTTTGTCATCATCACTAACATACTCGGCAATGTCTGGCCGATGCATGGGGCCTGCCTCTCTTTCTTTCTGCTCGAGCATCTGATCGAGGTCTTGAACAGCGAGAATGAGCTCGGCATTCGACTCCTGAGTCTTCTGGAGTTGGATTTCGAGGTTGGCATTTAGTTCCTTGGTGTGGTTAAGTTCCTGCTTGAGTTCCTCAATAACTGCTGCCTGAGAATCAGATCGTGAGCCGTTTGTTCGTCTGTGAAGGGAGGCTTTGAGGTTTTCGCATTCTCCTTTCAATGAATTTCTTTCTTCTTTTAAAAAAGTGATTTCCTGAGAGAGGTCGTGGCCCCTTTTGCTCTCCTTCACGACCTGCTTACGAAGAGTCTGAAGTTCCAGTTCGGACATGGCTGCCTGACGTGATAGAGCTGAGACATCAGCTTTCAGCTTCTGGACCAAATTATCTGGGGACACTTCTGAGTAAGAGTCCTCTTGCTCTAGAAAAATTTCCTCTTTTGGATTATTTAAAATATCATCTGTAGGATTATCCAGCCAATCCCATGATGTGAGGTGATCTTTGTACATTGGTGTAGGCCCACCAAATTTCGGATCCTCACAAGGAGTGTTATCATTGTTCATGTGGAGTTGCCATTGGGTTTCGATTCCCAAGCTTCCCTCGGAACTTGATAGTGTGACATCGGATTCGCTGGATGCCAGGTGGTTCATGTTTACTTCAGGAGGGGAGAATTGCTTATTAAATGGCGAATCCTGTTGAAATAGGAAAGTTCACGGTAAATTCTTTATCAATCTCCAGTGACAGACAAAACAAGCTGGGGGCAAACAAGATACAATACGAAAACTACTTAATTATAAGGGAGTGTTGGCTAACACTAAAAATGAAAAATGATTATCAGCTTCGATGGGCAAGATCGCCTAATTTTTGCTTTTTCTTCTTCTTTTCATTTTGCAAACACTCCACAAAAGTGAAAAAGCATTGTTTGAGGGCCATGAGATTACATCTGCAGAATCAGTTGTGATAGTTTCATTTGTATCAAGCTCGCCTAGCTGTAAGCTCAACGCCTGTTCTGCAGAATCCAATTTTACATTCTGAGGTTCTTCGATTTCTCTGTGAGGAGTCGTAAACATTCTCAAACCATTACACAGATATAAACGTTGAATAGAAACTTTATAACTAGAGTATTCATCTTCACCTTTCATCCATAGAATCGTGTATCCTTTGAATTGACACCTGTTCAAACATAAATATCAGATCAACAATATCTCCAAAACATGGTCCATACAACACAATACATAAAAGATGGATATTTTTTGCAGTGCCGAAAAAAAATTGCATTAACTGCGAGAGATTTTTATGCAGGTGCAGGTTTGAAAGGGAAAACCAATAACATTAATGCACTCACATGCAACATAGCTTCTGATTTTGAATCCTTAAGGGGGAGAGACACAAATGAGCCACTGGTTGCCTCAGCATAGTTCGAAAAATCGATTGAAACTTGTCCAACAGCTCCAGATTTAGACGAACCCTGGAAAAGCACCAAAAATAGCATTACAACCACAAACAAATCACTTGGAAACTAAGATAAACAAAAATAACTTCGTCTTCGGAAAAAGATAAAAGATCATACCGTGCCTACAACGAAGTAGTACAGCCTCTCGTGAATCTTCCCCGTTTTCGGATCACGATTGAACTTTATGGTTTCGAACATGGGCTTCTCCCAGTAACAGCTTCCATCTCGAACCGTGGCCTTGCCCGATTTCACACTCGGCTTCCCAGATTCAGCAGGAATAACAGAAACCATAAGTCCATCTCCTCCAACCTGCATAACCTGCACTTATACAGTTATACTCATTCATTTTTATCCTTTTCAAGGAAAACAGCCCCAGATCATTAGCATTGCCATTGATAAATGACAAACCAACACAAAGAGTGCCTCACAATATGCTCTCACTCATCCAAACACAGAATTCTCAATTTAGACACGAAATTCAATACTGATTTCTCACCGACTTTTTTCACGACCAGACAAAGATAAAGAAAAACAAAAATGCAGAGACTGAGCCACACAAGCAAAGTTCAGAGCACCTGAGATGCATGAAACTGCAGCTTGAAATGGACTTTGATTCTGTTCTTCTCGCTCCACCATCGCCCCGGCTTGAACATATTCACCAATTTTGCCCTCGATCACCACATTGCCCTGCACCGCGCCGGCCGGAGCTCCGGCTACGTCTGCCGGATAATTACCATTCTAGACAGTATTCCTCAACGCGCCGAATTCCAACCACCGACTCGAGCCTCCGAGCTAAAGCGTGGGGAATGCAGAGAGAAATTCGCGGTACGGAGAGAAACTCAATGGCGTCCGAGTTAGCTCAGTGGGTCGATGCCGAGTCGGAGAGTGAAAACATGCAGTCATCAGACTTTATACTTTTGTTGTGTATGAGCTTTGCTGTGTATTCTCTGGTGTCTGGACCGTTTGTGTACCTAATGCCGTGAAGAAGAAGACAAATTAATGATAAAATTTATTTGGATAGAAAAATAAAAATAAAAAAAAAAATAATAATAATAATAATAATAACTTGCATGTCATCTTTGATTTAAAAAATGTATGAACAAAATTTTGTGATTGGTATTTAACTATTTCAACCACAAAATTTAATTAGGTTTTGTCAAACGGGCGCAAAACTAGTGCGGTCCCACACAGGTGAAGCGCACCATAAGAAAGTGAACATAAGTGTGCTATAGTGAAGTTCTATCCAAAAACCAATTGGTTTTGAGACAGAACCTCACTTGGGCTTCATTTGGGCTCACCTGTTATGGTGCGCTTTACCTGTGTGGACCGCACCTTTGATCCCCCGATTATCAAAATTTGACATGGTATCAGAGCGGGCCTGATTTGGGACCTGCAATGAAGGCTTGGGCTTATGATGAATGTACCTAGCCTGGTTGTAGGCGTGGGCTTATGACGATTAAATGTACCCGGCCTGATGATAAGCTTGGGCTGATAAAGGACTTACAAGTGAGGGAGCGTGTTGAAATATCACTTGTGAATCGTCTCCCATTAATTTGATAGGGTAAATAAATCTAGTGGGCTACACTTCCATCACCAATTGGTTTTGGAATGGATCATCACTTGAGCTTCATTTAAATTTATCATGTTATGGTGCGCTTCACTTGTGTGGGACCGCACCCTTGACCCCCCTATTATCAAAATTTTAACAAATACATATAGCTTATTATACCAAAAATATCATAGTTGAAAATTTGAGTATGATATTTCATTATACAAGTATGTATTTAATTCATTTTTAAAATGTTTGTCTCACGTTGAAGAGTCATAAACATATACATGTAAATGTGCATTATAATAATACTGCTTCTGATCTTTTCCCGTAACTTTCATAGTCCGTGAGTCTAATTATTATGTGGGTCATTTTTTAGGGCGTTACTATTTACCACCCCTTATTACTAGTTATCGCTCCTTTGGACGATTTTGCCTTTTTCATTCGCACAATGTTAAGTAGTTCAGAGGTAATTTTTTTTCTGTCCGGACGGAAAAGTCGTACGGGATCGGTCGTGTCCAGCCGAGAAAACCGGACGGCCCGTAGGGCGTACGGCCGGTTCGGCCGGACGTGATTGTACCCGCACGTCTTTTCAGGCCGAACGAACCGGTCGTCGTACTAACAGACCGGCCGTACGGCCGGCTTTAAGTCCGGTCACGACGACTGCACGGAACCCGGTCCGTGCGGTCCCACCGGCCGACCATATATATTTTTTTTTAATAAATAAAATTATTAAGAATTATTTTGTTATATATTTTAAATAATTTTTGTTATAAATTGAACGTAACATAGTATTATCGTGTTAGAACTAGAAATTATTATATTATAGATTTGATATTATTATGTATAAATTGAACGTTAAATATTATTGTGTTAGTAGTTAGAAATAATTTTGTTATATATATTAAACTTGATTATCTTATAAATTTGACGTTATATGTTATTGTGTTAGGAATTAGAAATTATTATTTTATAGACTTGAAATTAATATGTTATAAATTGGACGTTAGATATTATCGTGTTAAGAGTTAGAAATTAATTAGACTTGATTTTCTATAAGTTGAACGTTAGATATTATCGTGTCAGGAGTTACAAATTAATTATACTTAATTATCTATAAAGTGGACGTTAATTAAAAATTAGTATGTTACATGTTTCAATTAATTATTTATATTACAAGTATGCTTTAAAATTATTAAATATGTAATACATTGCAGGTGTCTTTAGAAGATTTTGGAGGAGATGGTTACCGTTCCGCTTTCAATACAACTACGCTGTTTATTAGTGATGAGGAGGCTATTAAGGATGCAAAAAGTACGGCAATTCTGAATGGTTTCTTTTTTACTATTTCGAAACACAAAAAACCCGGAAGGCTGAAGATCTTGAAGTGCCATCGAGGCGAACGTTATAGAGGCAAAAACGTAGATATGAATAAAGCTGTTTCTAGACATTCAAAAACGAAAGCGTGCCAGTGCCCTTTTGAGATACAAGTAAAGCGTGTTGCCAGATCGACATACTGGATGATCCACACGAGTCAACACGAAACAAAGGTATACCATAATCATTCATTTGTTGTGTATCCTGAGGGCCATCGACAGTTGAGCGGCATAAGCCAGTCATAAAAAAAATTATTCGTGATATGACTGCTGCGCATGTGACACCAGCAAATATTTTGGTCACCGTCCAGGAAAAAAATCCACACGACCATGCTAATCGGCGACATATATATAGCTATAGAGACTGGTTGCGTAAGGAAAGTTTTGAGGGTAGGGACGTTCCTACCCAACTTCTACATTTGGCTAGCAGCAGCAAGTATATAGTTTATACAAATGTCGATCCGAATACAAATGCGCTGACACACATATTCATGGCCCATCCTGATTCAGTAAGTCTATTCCGGACATATTATTGGTTTTTCGGCATAGATTCGACGTACAAAACCAACAGGTATTTTAAATTTACAGATATGTCATTAGTATTAATTTAAATTTGTATTTTGGATTAAATTTTATGTGATTATAATTTTTTTCTTTTGGTCTCATTTTCACAGGTACAAGATGCCGTTGGTCGAGATGATTGGCATGACGCCGTGCAACAATAACTTTCTAATTGTGTATGCCCTCATGAAGGACGAGAAAGAGGCCAGTTATGATTGGGTTTTCGATAAGTTGAGACTTCTCATAGGCTATACGGTAAGGATTTATATGAAGTACATGATTAATAATTAGTATATAAAAGTACTTTGTAAAATATGGTAAAAAAAATTGAGCTTCTTTTGGCGTGTCTCACTAATTTTTGCCGCTGCTCAGGTGCATCCTAATGCGGTTGTCAGTGACAGAGAGTTAGGCTTATTGACTCCTATTAGGAGGCATTTTCCCCAATCTGCCCACTTACTCTGCACGTGGCGCATCAACAAGGATGTGGAAAACAAAGTGTACAACCTGTTTGGGAAAAATAAAAAATTATCTGAGAGGTTCTTGCGCGGTCGGTGGAAGTCGATTATGGATGCCAGTACGCCGGATGAGTACGACGCTGTCGTAGCTCAAGTGAATGCAAAATACGGGAATGACTCAAAAGTGATTCAATATCTCGAGCAGACGTGGCTAGGCCACAACGAGAAGTTTGTGAAAGCATGGACGAACCAAGTAACACATTTTGACAACACAACTACCTGTAGGGTAGAAAGTGCCCACTCTGTGTTGAAGAATTGGCTTCACACGTCGACTGGCACGCTAGATACAGTGTGACATAAGATTGATAAGGAGATCGAGTCTCAATTGACTGAAATCAGGTACATTCCTCAAAAACGAAACGTGTCATGTTACTTATGAAATAATTATAATAAATAAAAAAAGCCACCGAAATATATTATATATAAGTATAATATATTATATTATAATTTGTTATATTATATAAGTAATTTATATTATATACGTATAGTATTTTATATTATAATTTGTTATATTATATAAGTATAGTATATTATATTATAATTTGTTATATATATTATTTTATATAAGTATATTATATTATACTTGTATATTATTATATAAGTATAGTATATTAAATTATATAAGTCTCGCACCCCGACCGGCTGGAAATCACTCTAAGCTCGTTCTCCTCGCCGGTTGAACGCGGAACCTGCACGAAACTCCCACACCGGAGGTATTTTTCGGTGAAAAGCCTCCAACGCTCAAGTCAGATCTTGAGAGATAAAGTATATCAGTAAATATATGAGAGTATGAGAGATTGTATCGAAAATGAGGATTCTCGCCCGTATTTATAAGGGCGAGTTACCTGTTCTACACGCGCGAGTAGGGCGAGTTCAGCCAACTGTCCTCTGCTCGTCCGTACAACCGCGCGCCTCCACTATCCTTGGTGTCAGGAACGCGTCCCATTTGTCAGAGAATGTCAGAGTTTGTTATAGCTATTGACCACTCATAGTCCGCCGCGTGTCCTCCCCTTCACATGCTGGGGGTTTCCTTGTTCGCTCCAATATTCGACCATTTCCATACGACCACGCACTATCCGACCACCCTCTTTCGACCAACTCCTCGAGTAACTTGCCCCTTTCGACCACTTATGATCTCGTTAGTCTCTGCTATCTGCTCTCGTCCTCCGTTGCAGGTGTCTGGTCCTGCTCGACCACATCATTCGGTCCGTTCTTATTTAGGTAATCCGACGAACCGGCCTATTTTCTCCGGTTAGCCCCGCGAACCGGTCTAGTATATAATATCCCATATCATATATTATATTATAATTTGTTATATATAACAAATTATTTTGTAATGTATTAACAAGACATCACTTGAGTCTTCGAGATTTAGGAAGAGTACGGCATATACGGGATTGCCTTTCGCGTGCTTGACATTGAGAGTCTCGCATTACTGTCTGAATTTATTGAACGATGAGCTAACAAGGATGCGAGACTTGAGCTATGAAGTTTACTTGCGCTGCGGCTGTTTATTGCCTACCACACATGGAATTCCTTGTGCATGTACGCTTCGTACAGCACATGATTCGAAAATGGCGATTGGTATTGACATGATCCACGAGTTCTGGAAGACACTAGAGATGTTAGAACCAGGTAATTTGTGATTAATG